ATATATATATATATTTCATTTTGGAAAAGGGGCATTTTGTTTTTAAAAGATTGATAAAGGGATAACGTTGCTAGGAGACCCATAACGTGAAGTCATCAATCCCAAAGTCATGCAGCAGCCCGCATTCATGGAGTTTTGCGAGTATAGTGTGTGTGTGTGTGTGTGTGTGTGTGTGTGTGTGTGTGTGTGTGTGTGTGTGTGTGTGTGTGTGTGTGCCTCCCCTCACTAATGCGCTTGTGTGTCCTTGCTCTCGCTCATTCTATAAAGCCGCCAGCATCTCCTTCCCTCCCGCTCTCTCTGATTTCTGGCTGAAGCGCTGACAAAGATCAGCAAAGCTCTGCTTGGAAGATGAACAATGAACGACACCTGAGGTTAATTTCTTCTCTCCAAGCCCAGGATTTGTGTCAGGCATAATTGGCAGACTTGAAGAGCAAACCTTGACTCCTACGCTGACCTGCGTTTTGTGCATCACTGACTGATCAAGTTGCTCTTTTGTGGGTTTTTTTCCAACAATGCAAAAACCCTGAATGGCAAAAGGCTCGGATCTCTCTGGGAAGAACATCGGTGGAAGAAAAAAAGAGGTTTTAACTAAGCTGAGCGGAGAATGTTACGCCTGTAACCGAGCTCATAGAAGAGGTCTGTTTGCATCTCAGCATTAAACCCTGCTTATCTCATAAAGCAGAACCTCAGCATGCTTTTTAACTCTTTCAGGGTTATGATCACATCTTAGTGTGGAGGTTTCATTCAGTTAGCTCTGTGGAAAAGACGCTCTTTGTCCCAGACAAACACAGAACGTTCATTATGTTGGGCGCTGGTACAATTTTACGGCTGCTTTAGGAGACACTTTGTCAGTCTGTTGCATCCCTTTTCTTTTCTCTTCAGTCTAACAGTATTTTCAAGTTTTCTTCGACGCCACTTGACTAACTTTCTTTTTGCAGTCTACAACAATCACACTTTCCCTCTTCCCTCCAACTCTTTGGACACTTTTCCACTCGTTTTTGATATATTTTTCTTTATTTTATCAGTTCCCTCCTCTCGCCTGAGGGCAGGCAGAGAAAGCACACTGCATCCACCCCTAATTGCCTTCTCTGCCTCTATCCCCCCCTCCACCTGCCTTCCTCAGTATTTCTCTCACTTGTCTTGCGACAGTACCCACTGTTCAGACACCATGTGCTCCTCCGAGGAGCCGTGGAACTCCACCGAGCCGGCTGGAATCAATGGATCCGAGGCAAACTTCTCTCAGGGAGGACATCCGTGCGGTGCGGAGGAGGATGGAAATCAGCATCCTTTTCTGACCGACGCCTGGCTGGTTCCTCTCTTCTTCTCTCTCATCATGCTGGTCGGACTGGTGGGAAACTCGCTGGTCATTTATGTCATTTCCAAACACAGACAGATGCGGACGGCCACCAACTTCTACATAGGTGAGCTAAACAGGTTGGCAAACCATGTTGTGGTAGTTTGTAAAATGAAGTTTGGATTAGAAATGAGGAAAATGTGTGTGGTGAGTTAAAGTTAGTAAGTAGGGATTCTTACATTTGTTTTGACTTTTATTTTTCCAGCAAGCAGCGTAAACCAAAATGTTTTGTGTTTTGTCTGAATAACTGTTAAAAAAGTAATTTTGTTAAAGCTTTTACCCTTTTTGTAATCTTACTATTCCTCATCACACTTAAAAAATATTCTAACACTAATGATGCCAAGTGATGAAGCAATTTTAAGGCGTTACTTTGTCTCATTAAGACTGCAAAACCATTATGCAAATAAGTTTTTAACACCGCAGTTCTGCTATTTATCTCAAAATCCTCCACATATTGGGAACAGATCAGGACTGCGGGCTGACTTCAGAGCCCTTTTTTTTTCTTTTCTTTTTTTTTTCCATCCACGCACTGGTATTGTGTGCAAAGAATCGTTTTAGGTTTTCTTGAAAAAAGCCTGAATGTCCTTGAAGAGGAATTTTGCCACCTAACAGAGAGCTGAGGGCACTGATGCAGCCCTGCATCTTTTGACCTGGCCAAAATCCAAGCTGTAATGAAACATCGGTAAAGATGTTCTGCTGCAAGGAGGAGCTTTTATTCATTCTTTACTGATGCAACCCAGTACAAAACATGAATCAGCTTTCATTTTAATTTGAACATTTTTTAAATTATATTTAGGATGACTGATTCTGATGACATTTTACAATCTGTGATGGTTCATCCAGTGTCCTGTGTTTGACGTGTCCTAAGATTACGTCCCCATTCTAAATGGTTCAGTCATGTCATGCACTTTTTAACACTTACGATGGAACATGATCAGTTCTATTATTCAAGCAAGCTCACTAATTACTTCCTTGCTACCTCATAGAAATGATCAAACTCCCATTGATTCTACTTTTACCAGGCGTCAGCTTTTTCCAGTTTTGCGAACATGAAGGTTACAGTTTTGATTTTTCTGTAGGTTGTTTTTTTTTTTTTTGAAAGTGGATGCTTAATAGATTGCATGAATTTTTAACTTAAAGCTCCTTCAGGTTTACAGCATTGCTCCAGATCAAATCTGTACAACGTGTGTCTAAGACAATTTTAGAAAAAGAAAGAAAATCAAACAAGCTGTTGTATTCTCAGACCATTCCTTACTTGCTGCGAGTAAACATAATTCAGGTTAGAATATAAATCATTTGTTGTGTTCTCTGTAGATGCTGCTCTGGGTCTATGAGGATTACTAAAATGTCCAAAATAAGGATTTGTTTGTGCCTCGCATCTACATCTCAAAGGATTGTAGTTGTCTCTGTTAAGGATTGTTGCTATTTGTTTTCAGTGCTACATTTAGTTCAGTATAGAAAATAAACCAACAGAGAACAAATGGATTTCATCAACCATTCCTTCTCTGGCATTCAGAACACATAGATCTGAAACCTGGCTGATTGATCCTGAGATTGGTGGGAGCTGTGATATGAGCTGCCTCTGAGGCGCAGGGGATAGATTCACTCGGTTTGAACCAACAGTACGGCACACTAAATGCAGATCACATACATATAGATAAGATGCACGAAAAGTGTGTTTGTTTGCAGCTCGGTGATTTCCTGCAGGAACCCAGCTCGTTTGTGGCAGAGTACCTCATTGTGGATGTGATGAGAATTCCTCATGAATTCCATATCTCAAGGCCTCAGCTTTGAAACTGCGTAATATCAAATCAAAAGTAGGGTGTTTTGATTAGCGCTTGCACCATCTGTCCAGACCCTTCAGCATAATGGTTCAGTGACTACAACACGATTAGATCAAGTTATTAAAACAAACAGGGAATGTGCGAGGCAGGTTTGTCAGAGTGTCGGATCAGCAAGGAAGAACCAGACAGCCGGGTCCAGATTGATCTGATGCTCAGTGACGACTATCGGTTTTTCTGTTTCCTAGTGTTGGGTGCATCATCCACAGCATGTGCATGAGCATCTATGTGTGTAGGTGTAAAGACGCATTGTCAACCACTCAGCAGTGTTGGTCTTTGTTTGACTTAAAACTCACTTACAGCTCATCACCATCAAATAAACACATTGTTATTCTGAAGAAACCTTTGAGTACTCGGCATTGGGTTCTCAAGAATCAGCTGAAACAAGCAGCAACCGTTGCAATGGCGCTGTCATGTCTGGCATTATTCTGAAGTAATTGTACAGACGTTGGTAGGAATGGACATTTTGGGAAGTTTGTTGGTCAATTAGCTCTCAGATATCCACACCCATAAATAAACATTAACAATCTGAACACAAAGAAATACTACTAATGTGAGAGAAAGCAGTACTGAAATGACTACTTGTTTGTGGTGTTCATTTTAACAAGAGCTAATCTTAGCTTTCAGTATTCATGGCCACAATGAAGCCCCGATTTTGGCAGGGTTCTTAGAATAATAATAAAAAATGCAAATATTGGATGCGGCCCAGAAAAGGCCTTTGAGGTGGCATCGTAGTGCAGTAAGAACCAAACCAAACAAGAGCTAAGCAGTTAGCAGCTACATGCTACACGGCACTGTTAAAAGGTGAAAATACTCCGGAAGGAGAGTGGCCACAGGACATACATCATGTTCTATACTGTATTTTTTAAAATAATTTTATGGAACTGCATTTACGTTAAAATTTATGTTGTATGTTTATGTAAATTATATTGTTCTCAGTAATTTAGCTTGACAAACTCAAGAAAAAAGCACTAAAGAAATAAAAAAAATGACATTCCTTACTGTACTTTTCCGGTTTTCGTAATAAGACTGAATCCGCAAATCGTGAAACACAACTTTGCAGTGGTTCACTGTATTGCACATCTCAAGTTTTGGTTTAACCCTCCTGTTGTCTTCGGGTCAAAATGACCCGCCACTGTGTTAAACCCCCCCAAAAAATCCCCTAAATGTTATTTTTTTAACTTGAGATTTTAAGACTTTGCCTAGATTGGCCAAAACAATAGAAAAAGTTAAATGTTGCTTTTATTCACATTTCCATGTAAGCTGTACAAAAAAAAGTAACAAATATAAGACTTTGG